GAGCTCAGCCTTCGGCGAGGATATACCGCCTCGCACTGGTCGACAGAGCCTCGTTAGCGATAACAGGGACCACCAAGCCTTGACGGGCAGTGGGTGAGGTTATCGTTTGGGAAGGATAGGTTCCCCCATTAGATCCCCACGGGTAAAATTAGTTTATAATCAAGCAGACCGTTACAATCTTGTGCAAATAGAAACATTTATAGTTTAATAGTGGTTCAAATGAATGGTTGGTTGGTTTAATAGGTTTGTCACCCTGATGAAAAGTAATTAGCAATTTTGCCATTTTGATTTCACAACTATTACAACCTACAGCCATTTGGCGGTTTTAATGAATTTTGGTACGTCATGCAAAGGGAGGCAGCTGCACTCTGGAATATATTCTGCAAGAGTGATTTGGCTAGTGCCTAAACCTCATCCTTGCGAGGGCTGGACACTCGCACAGGAAGTGTTTGACTGTCTCCTTTGAGCCAGGGTCATGGCAACTGCGACAGAACCTATTGAAGGGAAACCCAATCCTTTCGGCATGTAACCCAACGGGCCAGTACCCTGTGCACACTGCAGTAAGTTTCTAGGTATCTTCCTAAGAGAGCTTTAGTTTAAAGTGGGTTGTAGGACACCCAGAACTGCCGGGTAATCTTGTGCGATCCTGAACGATTCCAGCTCTGCTTGGCCTTGAAGTGATACATTTAGTTAATTTTTGCGTGGGACGCATTCAGGGCGGAGCCGCTGTCTCGCACCAGTAAATGTCCCTATGTCGCCATATGACCCATATTAGGGTCTCCTAACGTCCTCCACCAGTTGAAATATAACAGAGGTACAAGGCTTTAACATCCGCTTGGCTATTCGAGAAGATATTCAGATAAATATTTGGGAACAAATTATATGTAATATTTTTGTCAATAGATTTCGCGCTAAATTTAAATGGTTGTAAATCAAAGAAAGCAAAAATATGCAAAAACTATATGCATTTAATGTAAAATATACTAAAATATGCACAATAATTATGACATTTTTTTGAAAAAATGCAAAACGATGCATTTACTGCAAAAGATGCAAAAATATGCACTAACCATTGAATGCCATTTTAAAGGAAGTTTCATGATTCGTAAAGATAATTTATACATTTTCATTTGAAGATGCCCAATAAAAACATGCGTTTGCATGAGATTCCGAGCCCTATATTATCTTTTGATGTTATTCGGAAACTGGGCTCAGACCCAGGCGTAAAGGTAGGGCGTACTGCTAACCATTACACCGCAGCAGCCGCACTTGCTATATGATCGGAAGTTCATCCCTGAAATAAGTTTCGGACAAAAGTTAAGTATATTTATGCGCAGAGTCCGAATCTGTGGTAAAAACATGTATATCCCATTAGGAAATTTAAGAACTAACTTCCGGTCGAAACCGGAAGTCGGTAATACGATCAAAAGTTAGGTTATTCTCGACTTGGTATTTGATATTTTTTCTTTTTGCAATAAAAACATTTTCACTAATTTCAGAAGTCCAGGACGAGTTGAATTTCGAAGTTCATTTAGAGGTTGAAAAAGGCACTTCCGAGAAAAAAGTGTCAGATAAAAGTATTTTTACCCTCAGAATCCAAATCTTAAGTATGTTTAATAAAACAAAAAAATGACTTCCGGGCAATTTAACCTACTTCCGGTCGAAACCGGTAATACCACCAAAATATGGAGCATCCGCGATTTGGTAGGCCGTATTTTTGCGTTTCTAACATTTCCCTCGATTTTAGAAAAGGTGAACGGGTGGTCTAGGACACCCTGTATAGTCTATTTTCGAAAATACCCCTTTACTATAACGCTGAACATTTGTCTTCAATATTACTTAAGCTAGAACGATGTTAATGATGTTTTTGAAAATCGAATAAAATGCGAAATAGTGTAAAAATTTTCTCTGAGCATCACTGATCTAATACCATGGATAATATGATACTAAACTCTCTTTCTCGTGAGAGCACTGTCAAAAAGTTCATTTTTCATCACGGTACAATAATTACAGGTATTGTCTTCCCAAAGAGTTTGCCTCACATCGAAGTTCGTGCTTCCTTATTTTCATTTTGACGCAGTTCAATGTTGATTCTTTTACTTTTATTTGGCTTTGCGTTTTGTTTTCGCTCAATTAAATTTCTATAATTTTTCAAAACAAAAGAAAAAACGTTTAAAATGAAGTGAACCATGCAAATTTTGAATTTATTTACTAAGCATATGTTTTTTTTCGGCTTTAGGAAATTAAATAAGTCCTCTGTAAGAAGGTTTGTTTAAAAAAATACATATATGGTATATGGGGTATGGAAATATCCCTTTTCCCTAGCAGTAAACCGTTTAGTGTGGGCAACAATGATCTTTTTCAAATAAGGCAGATCGGAATATGCGCTCTCTGGGAAGACAATACCTGTTATTATTGTACCACGATTTTTCATAACATCTTCCAATAGTGCCACTTCTACGAAATACATGTACGGGTATTTATTAAGAAATTGTAGGAGATTTTCTGTTATTAAGTAAAACACTCGAAAAAAAAGAAATTAAATACCTACTTTGTGCTTCCGTGTTATAAAATTCTTAAGTAACGAGCAAAAGTATTTTTACTTATAAGAACTGCACTTTCGCTTGTTTTATAATTGCATGTAAAATAAATCACCTGAATTCAAAGCGGTGCATTTTAAATGTGACTAGTGGTAGCTGTTCATCGCCCCCTGACCTTTCTGTGCTACCAAGTCATAAAATGAGTTTAGGGGTATTCTCAGAAGCGAAATGAGAGAGTTTCGTATCATATTATCCATGCTAATACGCTCTCTCATTCGTAATTCGATTTCTAATTGCCCTTAAAATTACAAGAATGATAGAATCTGTGTGACCAGGTTAGCCTTTTCGAGGGTAGATTTAGCATTTAGTTTTATGCCATAGCCTCAGAAATTTAGACCTGACTTCGTGGCTTTTTTCTGTAATTTTTTTATTAAAATCTTCATAATAAAATTCGAACCGGAACTATAGCAAGTAATTTTTAAGCAAAAAACGCAACCGACTTCAATTCTCATATAAAAATTTAGGAGTACCGTTAATTTTTTCATGATCCAATGTTCGGAACTAAATCAAATTACAATGGGACCACCTGCGAGACACTACATTTCCGATAGAACAATTATCAAAATCTGGGGTCGAATTATCCCACCAAACAATTTTCGTTGCCGGCAATAAGAAAACGTCTCGCCCTCGGAGACAAATTTATTGCCGGTAATATTGCCATCGTATCGATTTCATATAACTAGTCGCTCTAAAACTTCCACCGAAGGCAACTCGCTTGGGCGAGTCATTTTCTTATTACCTGAATGAGTCCTTTTCTTATCGCTTCAGGCGATATTTGGAATAATTTTATTCTTTTAAATACTTTATTTATTTTTTGTATACAAAATTGGAACTTAGAAACGAAATCAATTCTTTATTTCGCTATGGGGCTTCTTTCAATCCTGTCCTTGGTATAAATTAGACGATTTTGGATAATACTGTTGACGCGAAATTAATAAGTTTGGGAATTTTTTATGACTTATTTATTCCAAAGTTGACATGAAAGATAAGTCGGTGAGTCGCCATTTGTTGCCATTGACGATTGTTGCCTATTACTCATGTTTTGCATGGCGGGATGTGTTCCGTTAACGGCTTACTCGTCAAGTAAAAGTGTGTATTCGGTATTACAACACCATTACATTTTCAGTGAACGTACCCAATATGGCGTAAACGTCATTCGATTGCCTGACGCTGTTCGTACGAGCAAATAAAAGACGCAAAAAGGAAAAAAAATGTAAGTGAATTTCAATAAAATTAAGCCAAATGGCAATTTTAACTAATTCATAAATATCTTAGGACGACATTTAACAAGCTTAATCAAAATCAAAAAAATATTTTGGGCGAATACATGAAGGAACATCCAAATTTGGCGAAGAACATGATACCGAACTGCGCACAAGGCAAGGCAACGAGTATAAGGCTTTATGAGGACCTTTCTAGAAAATTGAATGCTGTGGGACTACCTGTTAAGGACGCAAAACGTGGAAAAAAGTTTGTTTGAATGATTTATCCATCTATTTAAAATACGAATTTCATATAAATATATTGTAGGTGTATGCTGATCAGAAATATCAAGCAAAAAAAAAGCCATTCGAGGAGAAGTACATCACCGAGGCGGAAGAAAATATTATTCAGGCAAGCGGCTTAGAAGTGACAGTAGATGGCATGGTCATTTTCGGAAATTCTTCGTTAATGCAGCTCGTGGAGTCAAATTCTCCAAAAAATTTGGAGAAAGAACTCGATGAAAGCATGGTGGACAGTATCAGTGAAAAGTGTATAATTTTCCCGGCCGACGATTCGGAGAACGAAAATATATATGTTGAAGTGCCAAAGAAGAAGATACAAGCAACAGCAACTGGCCCCAAGCTAGTTCTGTTGGAACAGAATCTTAAAGCTTCAAATGAGGGTAGAACTAACATGGAAGCTAAGCTTGACAGATTGCTAGAGATACATGAGCGCCTTTTACAACTGAAAGAAACTAAGTACAAACACCAAATGGAGGCGTAAAAACTAGATTTAGAGATAAAAATAACGAAATTAGAAATGCTTAAACATCAAACAAAATAGTCAGGACATTATACATATGTATGCATGTATGTATATGGAGTAAAGGTGTTTTTTTAAGTCTTATTTAGTTTAACTAGAGATTAATTTACGCATTACCTGAAGTTAAACGATTAATTTAAAGAAATGTATAATTTTTAATGAGAATGAGTTCAAATATGTTTTAATTGACAAGTGAATGTTTTACTGGGTTTCTAATATTCTGTGCCACTTTAGAAATTTGTGTTTCTTTTCCAATGCAAACTTCGTTGGCTTCAAAAATTTCAACGCTGGGTTGATCAAAAGGAACTTTAAATTCCATACATATATTGTGTAGAGCCGAGCAACCATTAGCAAACATAGCAACTTTTTCTTCCCCGTTTCTCGTAGCCTAGGATCTTCCACCGTCCTTTTAAAATGCCGATAGTCCGTTCAACTATGCATCTGGCCTTTGAGTGGACCTCGTTAAATGTGCTTTCACTTGAACCATCTCCGGGACTTCTGTAAGGTGTAATGCACCACGGTTCAAGCGGATATCCGGAGTCCCTTTAATAAGGTTATACAAGAATAAACGTTGATATTTTCATGATTAATATGTCTAATCCTACCAAGAAGCCAGAAATTGTTTTTAGGATTCAACTGAGACCGTTCTTGCAACGACTTCCTCTCCTCGGAATGTTTCCAAATGAAGGAGTCATGTGCTGCTCCTCCATATCTGGCGTTTATTGCCCTAATGTTATACTGGTGATCGCATATCTATAGAAAATATGTGTGAGTACATGAACACTCCAAGATTCTAAGCGATTCTTAATTCACATATGTACGCATATTGAACTTACCACCATCACATTGAGACTATGAAACCCTTTCCGGTTGAAAAACATGTGCTCATTGCTACTGGGTTTTTGTAGACCAATGTGAGTACCGTCGATACATCCAATAACTAAAAGGAATAAAAATATTAAAAGCTACCAAGAAAACAATGCCATGTATTTCACTTCTTCACCTCTGGGTATTTTGTATTTTTCGTAGAACCACTCCATACAAGGTGTCGAATTTTCAGGAGTGAATTTTATATGTTTTGTTCATAATTTCGCTTCCATTTCCCTTAGCACCCTTGATATGACTTTTGATACCAAACTTTGACTCATTCCAATAAGATAGTCGTTGCGTACCGAATGCTGGAAACCACCACTTCCTGAAAAGAAAGCGTTGCTGCCAATTGAAGCATAGGAGGCACAGCTACAGAAGATTTGCCATGGAAGTCAATAGTTTGCAAAACGTAATGAAATGCATCCTTGTTGAGACGAAATCTCTTGATGAATCTTAAATCAAAATCTAAATTGAAAACATAGGAGACTACATACATATTTAAAAATGTACGCTTTTTGTGGCAATGTAAGCGGATTGTTTTTGTCTCTCAAACGTCTTCTTATAAGACGTTGTTCATTCCCGTCATTTTCCTCAGAAGAACATTCCAAATAAAATAATAACTCAGCGTAAATTTTCCAATATTTAATATTTTTCTGCTTACAAGTAGGTATTTAAATAACACACTAAGTGACATTTCTTTGACAATATTCTATTACAAAAAGTTTTTAATCTACTACATAGCGAGTTATATTACGATCCGAACGTATGCCATAATTCCAACTTAATCATTCGTACGACACGTCACGTAATTTTTTTTATACGGTTGCCGTTTCGTTCTCGTAACACACAATTCGACCCCGGTTTATGTGGTCCAAAGTTATGCGGTAACATACATAAAAAAAAATATTCCGATGAATTGGTAACCTTCTCCTTTTTTTGAAGTCGGTTAAAAATAAGTACCTAAGCTTCCTAAAAAGCTTCAATATTTCTAAAACTACTATTTATCGTTGAAATATTACAATTACTGTGCAAGGTTCTTTGAGAAAATACTTTCTCCGCTTTTTAAAAAACAATACTAAGGATTTTGCTATATTTGGAAATTGAGTTTTGGCGTACTACTTGTGTACTAGATGTAAAAAATATTAAAATTTTTGCATTTTAGTTATCCAAAACTTTTTTGGCATATTTTGAAGTTATGTAGCCGTTAATGGCCTGTGTTTTAACGAGAATTATTTAAGAAGTTATTTACAGAAAATCGGATTTGCGGAACGTATCGAGTTTTTAAGGAATGAATATACTGACTTCTTTTTAACTTCAATTTTCATAGCGTATAACTTGTTCTAACCTTTTTTAAAAACGAATTTAGCTTTGCTTTTTGCGATGATCTAGTCATACTGGATAGAATACAAGATTGCGCCAATCGAGCTGAGGGCAACCGGGCGTGACATGATTCAATAATTCAAGGTTGGATAAATATTTATATTTGTGTCAATCGACTGCCTTTGAGAAGGAAAGAGAAAGCGGGTAACCATGTTATCCCCTTTTGTGAAAAGGTAGTAGGAAAAGCATCTGAAATGCGTTTTTTTGTATAAAAATAGAATTAAACATATAAAGCAGATTCCACTGATCTACACAATAGACAATGAATTAACTTTTTTATGGTATATTAAACATGCTATATAGATATTAAAAATGAAATAAATGAAGAATGGGAGAATTTTATTCACATAAAATTCTGACCAAAGGAAAATCTTGTCGTCAAATATTCCCAAATATTCAAAATAAACCATGGCTTCATTAAAATTGCAGTATATATTAAACAATATTAATGGAATTCAAACAAATTCTTTATTCAAAGGGACTATATCCTACACCGTCTTCAAAAGAGCCACAACTCAAAATTTGGCATTTTTGAAATTATGCGCTAAAAATGTACACAGAGCTTTTATTTACCTTTCAGCAAAAGCTGGAGAAAAGTTTTGTTTTTGTGCTAAGAAATAGTTTTTCGCATTTTCTGACAAACGTATTATTTTGAGTTATGAATCTTTTGAAGACGGTGTACGATATGAAGAAATATACAGATAGTAAAGATGCAATTGATATAATGCAATGGTGGGCAATTACGGCTCTTTGAGCCAAATGCGGCCCTTTGCTTAGCATTGTGCGGCTCTTTTTACTTTATTTTTGCTTAGAACATTTTGGCTCATTTTACTTTTTAACCCTAGGAGGTTCAACCAGGTCTGTGCAGACCTTTTGCATGTAAACGTATGTATAGGTTTTTTGTTTTGCGTGTTAGAGGCAATCAACTTGTCAAATAACGTTAAATAACAGGCATCTAACCCTAATTTATTTTTCATGGAAATATAGGTTCGAGTATTTTTTACGAAGTGTGAAGTAAAGTGTTTTGTGATATAATATTACTTTTCATTTTGTGAATTAGGTGCAAGGTCTAATAAAACATTTGCTTGTACTATTTAAAAAAAAACACACACAAGATGTAAAGTTATACCTTGAGTATATTAATGCAATACATTTATACATAAATACTTATTTCTTGCTTACAATGTTGGTAAAATAAAGNCAAGGTTCTTTGAGAAAATACTTTCTCCGCTTTTTAAAAAACAATACTAAGGATTTTGCTATATTTGGAAATTGAGTTTTGGCGTACTACTTGTGTACTAGATGTAAAAAATATTAAAATTTTTGCATTTTAGTTATCCAAAACTTTTTTGGCATATTTTGAAGTTATGTAGCCGTTAATGGCCTGTGTTTTAACGAGAATTATTTAAGAAGTTATTTACAGAAAATCGGATTTGCGGAACGTATCGAGTTTTTAAGGAATGAATATACTGACTTCTTTTTAACTTCAATTTTCATAGCGTATAACTTGTTCTAACCTTTTTTAAAAACGAATTTAGCTTTGCTTTTTGCGATGATCTAGTCATACTGGATAGAATACAAGATTGCGCCAATCGAGCTGAGGGCAACCGGGCGTGACATGATTCAATAATTCAAGGTTGGATAAATATTTATATTTGTGTCAATCGACTGCCTTTGAGAAGGAAAGAGAAAGCGGGTAACCATGTTATCCCCTTTTGTGAAAAGGTAGTAGGAAAAGCATCTGAAATGCGTTTTTTTGTATAAAAATAGAATTAAACATATAAAGCAGATTCCACTGATCTACACAATAGACAATGAATTAACTTTTTTATGGTATATTAAACATGCTATATAGATATTAAAAATGAAATAAATGAAGAATGGGAGAATTTTATTCACATAAAATTCTGACCAAAGGAAAATCTTGTCGTCAAATATTCCCAAATATTCAAAATAAACCATGGCTTCATTAAAATTGCAGTATATATTAAACAATATTAATGGAATTCAAACAAATTCTTTATTCAAAGGGACTATATCCTACACCGTCTTCAAAAGAGCCACAACTCAAAATTTGGCATTTTTGAAATTATGCGCTAAAAATGTACACAGAGCTTTTATTTACCTTTCAGCAAAAGCTGGAGAAAAGTTTTGTTTTTGTGCTAAGAAATAGTTTTTCGCATTTTCTGACAAACGTATTATTTTGAGTTATGAATCTTTTGAAGACGGTGTACGATATGAAGAAATATACAGATAGTAAAGATGCAATTGATATAATGCAATGGTGGGCAATTACGGCTCTTTGAGCCAAATGCGGCCCTTTGCTTAGCATTGTGCGGCTCTTTTTACTTTATTTTTGCTTAGAACATTTTGGCTCATTTTACTTTTTAACCCTAGGAGGTTCAACCAGGTCTGTGCAGACCTTTTACATGTAAACGTATGTATAGGTTTTTTGTTTTGCGTGTTAGAGGCAATCAACTTGTCAAATAACGTTAAATAACAGGCATCTAACCCTAATTTATTTTTCATGGAAATATAGGTTCGAGTATTTTTTACGAAGTGTGAAGTAAAGTGTTTTGTGATATAATATTACTTTTCATTTTGTGAATTAGGTGCAAGGTCTAATAAAACATTTGCTTGTACTATTTAAAAAAAAACACACACAAGATGTAAAGTTATACCTTGAGTATTTTAATGCAATACATTTATACATAAATACTTATTTCTTGCTTACAATGTTGGTAAAATAAAGTCTGTAATTAAGTAACTTAACAACTTATTCAGAATTATTATTGTAATAATTTAAACTGCAAATTGAATTTTGCGCTTTCCTTTTGCGAATTTTTCTATTATCCTTTCAGTGGCAATTTCAATATCTAAGTGTACGTGTAAAAGTGCTAGACCTATCAGTCTTTCTTCATTCATGGTACTACGCAACCATGTTTTTAACCGTCGAAGGGTTTAAAAACTTCTTTCGGAAGTAGCGTTATTAGCTGGAAGTGTGACCAGAATGCGGAGAAGTTTGTTAATCAATGGAAAAGCATATTCGTCGCATTTACTAAGAACTTCTGCTGCTGATTTTGGGAATGGCTTTTCGCTTTCCTTATTTGTCCATCGTTCCAACCACACTTTATACTCTCTTTCCAAATTGATACCGTCTTTTTCTTAGAAAAGTTCGTATCGTTTTCCAAGCGATTTTACGCGTTCGATAGCATTATTTTTTTCGTGAGGCGTATTATATTCCCCAATTTTAGATGGAAGTAATAAGTTCAAACCAAAAATGTTCAATGTCTCTTTCGGCAATCTTTCTCAGAGATCGAGCAAAATATTATCCAAAAGCGGTATAAATATTGCCTTTCGATAATAATCTTCAGCGGTAGACGCCTGATAATTAGCCCGACAATTTTGTCTATTCGCTCTCCGAGGAAGCACAATGTCAAAATCCAATTCCTTAGCGATGTCGGTAACTTTTAAAAATATATCAGAAAAATGTGTGTCAGCATTTTCTCTATAATTTCGAAGAATATTCACAGTGCCACTGACTGCTTCGCTAGAAGTAAACTTTTAATTTTAATTTTTTAATTTAACTTTTTAATTTTTATTATATTTTTCAAGTCATTAATTTTTTTATGTGCATACAAATGTCTGGTTACACAGTTGAAAGTGAAATTTCCTACATACGTGCACCGCGGAAATAGACAAAAAGTAGTATCAGAAAGTTCGCTTTGACATACATACATACATTCATACAGCCCAATTCTGAATACTCCCAGGGAGTTTGTTCTCCGGGAA